AAAAGCCAAACAAAATAAAAGACAAGAGTTCAAGACTGCTAGAAATAACTAGGGGGGAAAAGAGAACACTAAAATAAAACTAAAGAAGACTTGAAAAACTACTAAGTCAAAAAAACAAGGAGCTAGACTTTAATAAGAGTATGCGAGGAACTAGCAAAAAGGCTTGACTAGAGCGGAATTAACTGCATGTAGCAAAACACACACACACACACACACACACACACACAACAAACCAAATGCAATTTTCTGAACTTGAGAGTGCTTTTTTGAACCACTTAAGTAGGACTTAAGTACATATTTATAAGTAATTTCATAATGGTCTTTGAAATATGCATGGTTAAAGTGCACGAATGTACTTACAAGCATTTATGGTAACCTAAAACATTTAATTTCTATTGAAACTTATATCTCATGTTTTAAATATATTTGCAATTACACATTTGTAATGAAGTTGCAATTTAGTACATTTAAAATATATTAACTTTAAATGTAATATTGAATAAAACACTACAGTTAAAATATTAATCAAGTATTTTACATTTTGTTAGTCAACACAGTTAAGAAACAGTCATGAAAGTGTCTCTCTTTAAGTACACTTAAGTGGGCTTTTTATTTTATTAATATTATAGTTTCTGCAAGTACATTTTTTTAAAAATATATACTTTTAAGATTTGAAGTACGCTACAAGTGCACTTCCAATACAATTAAGTGCACTTCTTTTTCAGTTATTTTTGTGGTATCTTGAGTTAAAATCAACTTATGCAAGCGGTTACGCAAATTAATTTAATTACTTTACATTCCAACACTTACAAAAATGTACAAACATCTGATCCAAACTTTTTGTGATGGCTGTTTGTTAACAGAGCATCTGTCACTAACCTGATAACTGTAATTGGAAACTACATATAGTCATTCTGAATTCAAGCCTGAATTATTGATCAGAAGGTAGGCAGGTAGTAACTATCCTTTCTTCGCCACTGTTAGACAGTGAACATGTCTAAGAAAGTTAAGGTAAGGAAATGCTCTTGGTTTCATTATATTAATATTTTATGCAGTTATTGTTAGGGCTGGGGTGAGAAAGGGAGAAACTGAGTGTGTATAGTACATATGTGGTGTGCATCTAAGTACCCATTCAAATGACTACTCCATGTGCTAGGAGTACAGCATTAGTCTTCATCTACTGAATAAGGCTTCCTTTGATGTCATAAACTGCATACATGAAATAATCCATGATTATAGAAGAATGTTGGAGTCGTGTCTGGATTATATCAGCTTGTACACAAAACAAAGCATCCCTGTATTGGCTCCTGTTTTGATTTTGGTTAAATCAGATATTAAGTCACACATACAAATGGTGGAAAAAATAGTTGCCACACTTAAAGGAGCCATGTGCTGATTTGTTTATTTATTTATTTTTAATGTATATTGTCTCCTGTGGTTATAATGTTAGTAGGATTTTTGTTTGTTTGTTTGTTTTTTTTATTAGAAATAATTTGCCATTTTCTTTAGTTTTTGGCCCTCTGATTTGATATGTTTGCATATGAAATGAGTATCATGCAAGTGGAACAGTTTTTGAAAGTCTGTATAATGAAAACCTTTACAAAAAAAGTATATTTCAGGTTGATTTAATTACTTAATTACTCTGGTAATGCTGTAGTTCTGGTGTTACTTGACCTCAGTGCAGCATTTGACACCATAGACCATAAAATTCTTATTGCACGGCTTGAGTGATTGGTAGGGTTTCAAGGTACTGTTTTAAAATGGTTTAAGTCCTATTTAACAAATATAAGTTTTTCAGTTGCCTTGGGTAAATTTACATCAACTTCGGCTCCTCTTACATGTGGGATTCCCCAAGGATCCATTTTGGGTCCTATTTTGTTTTCATTATATATGCTTCCAATTGAGTCTATTTTTAAAAAACATGGCATATCATTTCACTGTTACGCTGACGACACAAATATATAAGCCAGTAAAGATGGAAAGTAGCTCACTAGGGCCTCTTCTTGCTTGTTTGAATAACCTGAAAACTTGGTTGGATGAGAATTGTTTGCATATGAATTAATCTAAAACAGAGATTATTGTGTTTGCACCCCAAATACATATGGGTCCCCTAAGTTTGATTTAGGCCCTTTATCTATTCATGGCAAATCCATGGTAAAAAAAAATTTAGGGGTACTTTTTGATGAGTCGTTAAAATTTGACAAACAGATCAATGCTGTTTTCAGATCAGGCTTTTTTCAATTAAGAACACTGACAAAGGTCAAGCCATTTTTGTCGTTTTATGATTTTGAGAGAGTGATGCATGCATTTGTGTCTTCACGTCTGGACTATTGTAATTCCCTGTACGTGGGGATTAGTCAGTCCACTTTGTCTCGATTGCAAATTGTCCAGAATGCTGCTGCAAGATTGCTGACAGGCTCTCGGAAACGGGACTTTCTTCTCTACATTGGCTGTCAGTGCGTTATAGGATTGATTTTAAGATTTTGTTGTTTTAAATCTTTAAATGGCCTTGCACCACCATATCTTTCAGATTTATTACAACCATACTCACCATCCAGATCACTTAGGTCCGCTGACCAGAAACTTTTGACTGTCCCTAGGGCGAAACGTAAATTATGGGGCGATCGTGCTTTTTCAGTGATGGCTCAGAGACTTGGAACAGATTGAAAGGGGTCATATGATGTTGCTAAAAAGAACATTATTTTGTGTATTTGGTGTAATGAAATGTGTTTATGCGGTTTAAGGTTCAAAAAACACATTATTTTCCACATATTGTACATTATTGTTTGTCCTCTATACCCCGCCTTTCTGAAACGCGTCGATTTTTACGAGACTTTAGTCTTTGCAACTTTACAGATCTTCTTTATGCACCAAGAGCTTGTAACACTCCAAAGAGAAAGGAAAACTTGAAATCGCATCATATGACCCCTTTAATGCAATGTGAGGAAGATAGTTTGAGTGGCCTAAGACTCTCCAAGGAACACAGCTAGATAATTGCAGAAAACAGTTGAGTCTTGGCGTCAGAAAGACTTATAATGGGCCGTGGTTGGTTCTTTCAATAGAACAATGATCCAAAAGGACCATCAAAATCAACAGAAAAATGGGTCACTGTTTGTTCTCCAAACTCATCCGGCATTATAGGAGAGACTCAGAGCTGTTAAACTGGCAAAAGGGGGTTGCAAAAAGTATTGAATAAAAGGGTGCCATTAATTGTGGCCAATGTGAATTAGAAAAAAAAAAACATTTCTATCATAATGAGATTTCCCTTCCCTTCCACTTTACTTTAATGAAAGTTTAGGGTTTGTTTATTTATTTATTTGAATAAAATATCAAATTGATTAACAGTGCAGATTTATTTTCACAGGCTTCTTTGTTCATATCTATCAAGGGTGCCAATAATTTTGATATATAAATACTGAAAACACAACGTTAATCTGAAGTTTTAAGCCTCAGTTTAGTCCTTTAGTAGCTCTAGTCTTCCTTCAGGAAATAAGCCTATTAAATACTGGACTAGACTAAGTCTAAGACTATTTAAAACCATGACGGAGAAAGCAGATTTCTGTTAATCTGGTTTAAAGGTCCCATATTGTCAAAACTGAAATTTCCTGGCTTTTTTCACGATAACTGAGGTCTAGGGGCTATTTAACTACCATATAAGTTTCAAAACAGTCAGTCCACAGTAAAATGCACACAGCCTGCATAAAGTAGCTGTGATTTTTCACGAACCGTTGTGACTTCCGTAAAAAGTTGACGTCAGAACGACACAGTCACCGCCTTCAGTCACCACCCCGAGCACCGCCCACAGTCCCACTCTCCTTTTGCCAAACCCCCAGACAATATTGCGGAAACATGTCGAAAAGGTTAACTTTAAACATGAAACCAGATCGGCTGACCTGTAACTTTACACTCTCACTCAAAGGATGGACGATCTGACAGGATTGTTACTATGAGGTGGATCACATCTAACATGTATAGTAAAGACAAACTCACCGTGTCTATCTAGTCATGATGAAGAAGTATATACATTTCAGTTTCAGCAGGCAACTATTTTTACAGCTACATTATTGTTCCAGCCACAATTAATCACAACAATGTATATACAATTACAAATGATTATATATAAATCGTCAGTTTGTTGTTTTACACACATGCACACAGACATTAGTTCATACACGACATAGTCGTGAGATGCAAGAAA